GGCGGCGGCTGGCAGCGGCGGCGGGGGTGGTGGTGGTGGTAGTGGCGGTGGTGGTGGTGGTGGTGAGGTTGTTTGTGGTGGTTGTGGTGGTGGTGGTGGGTTGTGCTGCTGGTAGTAGTGGTGGTGGTTGTGACGGTGGTGGTGGTGGTGGTGGTGGTGGTGGTGGTGGTGGTGGTGGTAGATTGTGGTGATGGTGATGGTAATGGTGGTGGGTTGTTGTATTGGTGGTGGTGGTTGTGGTGGTGTGGCTGTGGTGATGGTGGTTGTGTGGTGGTTTGGTGGTGATGGTGGGTTGAGGTGGTGATGGTGGTGGTCGTGGTGGTGGCGGTGGTGGCGGTGGTGGCATGGTGGTTTATGGTGGTGGTGGTGGCGGTGGTGGTCGTGGTGGGCTGTGGTGCTGGTGGTGGTGGTGCTGCTGCTGGTAGTGGTGCTGGTGGTGGTGGTGGGTGGTGGGTGGTGGCTGGTGGGTGGTGGTGGTGGTGGTGGTGGTGGTGGTGGTGGTGTGGCGGTTTGTGGTGGCGGAATTGGTGGTGGGTTGTGGTGATGGTGGTGGTTGTGGCGGTGGTGGTGATGGTGGTGGTAATGGTGTGGTGGTTTGTGGTGGTGGTTGTGGTGGGTTGTGGTGGGTTGTGGTGCTGGTGGTGGTGGCGTTTTTTGGTGGTGGTGGTGGTGAGGTGGTTTGTGGTGATGGTGGGTTGTGGTGATGGTGGGTTGTGGTGGTTTTGGTGGTGGTTGTGGTGGTGGCGGAGGTGGTGGGTGTGGTGTGGCCTTCGCCTCTTCTCGCCAGTGTGTTCTGGCAAAGGGTCAGAGTTCTAATGGATGCCCCTTGAGGTCTCGTCAGATGGGTCTCGGGGGCGTCTGAGGAGCATGCGAGGGCTCGATATGGCGATTTGTGTGTTCGCTCTGCGGCCTCTGGACCCTCTCTGGTCATCTTCGCTGCGTCCCCGCCGTCGGCGCTGCTGACCGCCGCCAGCGCCAGCGCCGGCGCCGGGACAGCCTCGAAAGGCGTCAGTCGGGCCAAGAATGCCCAAAGACAGCCCAGAAAGCCCCAAGAGAGGCCCCAGGAGTCCCCAAGAGCCCCCAAGAGGCTCCCATGAGATCCCCAAGAGCCCACCGAGAAGCTACCGAAAGGCCCCTGATATGACCCCAGGAGGCCCCAATAGGGTCCGTGGAAGTCAGGGCGGCAATGGGAGGCCACGACGACGACGGCACGAAAATAGATGAGTCGAAGCCCTGGGGGCAGTGTGGTCCAGGGGGCCAGGGCAGGGGGGGCTGCCAGGGAGGCCAGGGCAGGGCAGCTGGGGGGAGGCCACGATGACGACGACGACGACGACGGCGACGACGACGACGACGGCGACGACGGCGGCGGCGACGACGACGACGACGACAACGGCGGCGACGACGACGATGGCGACGACGCCGGTGACGACGACGAGGACGACGACGACGAGGAAAACGACGACGACGACGACGACCACGACGACGACGACGACGACTACGACGACTGCGACGGCGGCGGTGACGACGACGGCGACGACGACGACGACGACAAGGGCGGCGACGACGACGACGAGGACGACGCCACGAACACGAAAGGATCCGAAGCCCTGGGGGGCATGTGGTCCCGAGGGCCAGAGCAGGGAGGGCTGCCATTTAGGCCAGGGCAGGGCAGCCGGGGGAGGCCACGACGACGACGACGACGACGACGGCAACGACGACGACGACGGCGACGACGGCGGCGGCGACGACGACGGCGGCAACGGCGGCGACGACGACGATGGCGACGACGCCGACGACGACGAGGACGACGACGACGAACACGAAAGGATCCGAAGCCCTGGGGGGCCTACGGTCCCGAGGGCCAGTGCACGGGGGGCCGCCAGGGAGGCCAGGTCAGGGCAACCGGGGGAGGCCACGAGGCCGACGACGACGACGTCGGCGACGACGGCTACGACGATGGCGACACGAAAATAAAGAGGTCCGAGCTCTTGGCACGACTGTGCAAGAGGACACGAATCTTCCTTGTCGCTTCCCCAGACCGGTCGGTAGGGCGGGTCGGGCGTTTTGCCTCAGACTTCTTCACCCCGTATGGTTCTGAAGTTTGAAGTCTGCAGCAGCTTCACGGATGGATGGCTGGCGGTTTTCGAAATGTGGTTCTCGTTTTGAGCGCATCGCACAAACAGTGTCCAACTATTTCAGTGATGGTGGGCGGATGATTTTCAACATATGGCTCTCGCCTCCGTGCCGCTCATATTCTTCTTCAAGTTTGCAACTGTTTCACGGGTGGGGTGCGGCTTCTTTTCAAAATGTTGCCCTCCCCCCAGAGCCGCGCACATTCATTCAGCAACATCGCAATAGTTTCAAGGTGGAGGGCGGTTCTTTTTCAAAATGTTGCTCTTGCCATAGCACCGCGAGCATTCGTTTAAAACGTTCGCAGTAGTTTCAAGGTCTTGTATTGTTGAAGACCCAGGAATGGCTTCCATGCGCGAGCTACAATTGTCAGGATAATTATCAGTTTATTCATGGTGTTGGGTCCCAGGAATGTTGTTCTGGCACGGTTCTTGGCAAGTTAGGACGCAGCAGTCACGTTGTTCGGAGGCGATGAAGTATCAATAATGCTCTTGGAAAGATGGAGGATTTTCAGACGTTTGTCGTCCAATGGGCCACTACCCGCCATGACAATACATTCTTGTAGGAACCTATGAAGAGGGAGCTTGGAGGAAGGGTTTGTTGCAGCATTGTTGATGCGCCTTGGGTTTACACTGGTCCTCCTCCGCATCGTCTTCGTCGAATGTCGCAAGATTTGTGGGCCAGCTGACGTAAGGAATCGGCAACATTAGCAACATTGACAGGCATGCCTACCTCTATTGTCCCAGTCCTGTTTATCTATGCTATCCCAATGAGCAACATTGGGACATGATAGGCAGACTGCCAGGCTTGCTATAGAACAGGCGATTTGGTTCCTCAAAGGGAGTTCTTGGGGGGGCTGAGAGCGCTCGGAACACCCCATTCTCTTGGAGGCTCGTTGGCGCCCCCATATTGCCCAAGACGGCTCCAG